TGTGTCCCTAGCTGGTTTGGCTCAGTGGAAAGTGTCAGCCTGCGGACTGAAGGGTCCTGGAGCACATGCCTGGGTTTTGGGCTCAGTCCTCAGTGGGGGGGTGGGGGAGATTAAGGAGGCAGCCAATCGATGATTCTCTCTCATCGATGTTTCTGTCTCTCCCTCTCCCTTCCTCTCTGAGATCAATAAAAATATAGTTAAAAATAATTCAAAATTTCATATGAAACCACAAAAGACCCCAAATAGCCATAGCTATCTTGACAAAGAAGAACAGTCAGAGATTCCACTTTACCTGATATCAAACTATACTACAAAGCTATAGTAATCAAACCAGCATGGTACCAGCATAAAAACAGACAGATAGACCAATGGAAGAGAATAGAGAGCCAAAATATAAATCCACACTTATGTGGTAAATTAATGTATGACAAAGGAGACAAGTACATACAATGGAATAAAGAAAGTCTATTCAATACATGGTGTTTGGAAAACGACAATGCATGAAAAAAAAAATGTAAACTAGGCACGTTCTTACACCATATACAAGAATTAGCTCAAAATGGATTAGAGACTTAAATGTGAAACTTCTAGAAGGTAACATCAGCAGTAAAATCCCTTAACATTTCTCTTAGCAATATTTTTCTGACATGTCTTCTCGAGCAAGGCAAACAAAAAAAAAAAAAAATTAACAAATGAGACCAAAATAAACAAAAGTTTTTGCAGGGCAAAGGAAACCAACAAAATGAAAAGACAACCTACTGAATGGGAAAAGATATCTTATACATCTGATAAGGGGTTAATACCAAAGAATTCATACAACAACACCATCAAAACAAACAATCCAATTAAAAAATGGGCTGAGGACCTGAATAGCTACATCTCCAAAGAGGAGGTACATTTCAGATGGCCAACAGACATATGAAAAGAAGTTCAGTGTCACTATTCATAAGAAATACAAATTAAAACTACAATTGTTTCCATTGGTTGGAGCATTATCCCTAAAAGATTTCAGGTTCAATTCTGGTCAGGGCACATACCTTTGTGGTGTGCTCAATTCCCAGTAACGGTACAGGGAGGCAACCAATCAGTGTTTTTCTCTCTGTCTCTCATCAATAAGCAAATCCTCGGTTGAGGATTACAAGGGGAAAAAACCCCACAATGAGCTATCAAATCACACGTCAGAATGGCTATCATCAAGAAATTAACAAACAACAAGTGTTGGTGAGGATGTGGAGGGAACCTTCATGCACTATTGGTGAGAATGAAGATTGGTGCAGCTACTATGGAAAAGCAGTATGGAGGTTCCTCAAAAAATTAAAAATGGAGCTGCCTTATATGACCCAGCAATTCCACTTCTGGGTATATATCTGAAGAAACCCCAAACACTACTTCAAAAGAATATAGGTTCATTGCAGCATTATTTACAATAGTCAATATATGGAAGCAACCCAAGTGCTTATCAACAGACAAGTGGATAAAGAAGTGGTACATATATACAATGGATTATTACTTGGCTATAATAAAGAATGAAACCTTACCTTTTGCAACAGCCTGGATGGATTTAGAGGTTAAAGTCAGTGAAATAAGTCAGACAGAAAGATAAATACCATATGATTTCACTTATATGTGAAATCTAAAGAAAAAAATCAAACAACCAAAAACAGACTCAGAGATCAGGATGATACTCATAGATACAGAGAACAAACTGGGGTTACCAGATGCAATGTGGTTTGAGGGATGGGTGAAAAGGTGAAGGGATTAAGAAGTACAAATTGGTAGTTATAAATTAGTCAGGGGGATGTAAAGTACAGCACAGGAAATATAGTCAATAATATTCTAATAACTAGGTGTGGTGTCTGATGGTATTAGACTTTGTAAGTTATATACATGTCTAATCACTAACTTGACACCTGAAACTAATATATTGTGTCAACTTATTGAAAAAAAAAAAAAAGTAAGCCCTAGCTGGTTTGGCTCGGTAAATAGAGCATCGGCCTGCAGACTGAAAGGTCCCAGGTTCTATTCTGGTCAAGTGCATGCACCTTTCTGTCTTTTACTTTCTCTTCCACTCTCTCTGAAAATTAACCGAAAAATATCCTCGGGTGAGGATTAAAAAATTCTTTTTTAAATAAAATGGTGCATACACACACACACACACACACACACACACACAGAGGAATATTGTATTATTCAGCCATTAGAAAAAAATATTCTGCCACTTGAAACAACACATTCATGGACCTTGAGGGCATGATGCTTTGTGAAATAAGTCAGAAAAAGAGAAATACCACATATTCTCACTTATCTGTGGAATCTTTTAAAAAAACAAGTCTAACCCTACCTGGTTTAGCTCAGTGGATAGAGCGTCGGCCTGCACACTGAAAGGTCCAGGGTTTGGTACCTGTCAAGGGCACATGCCCAGGTTGTGGGCTCAAACCCCAGTAGGGGGCATGTAGGAGGCAGCCAACAATGATTCTCTCTCATCATTGATGTTTCTATCTCTCCCTTCCTCTCTGAAATCAATAAAAAATATATATTTTTAAAAAACACACAAAAAAACTCCATAGATACAGAGCACAGACTGATGGTTGCTAGAGGTTACAGGAGTGGTGTACAGGGGTGAGGTGCAGGTCAAATGGATGAAAGCTGTCAAAAGGTACAAACTTCCAGTTATAAAATATGTCATGGAAATGCAATGTATAGTACGGTGACTGCAATTAGTAATACTTTATTTCAGATTTGAAAGTTACTAAGAATAAATCTTAAAAGTTCTCATTACAAGAAAAAAATATTCTGTAAGTATGTATGATGACAGATGCTAACTAGACTTATTGTGATGATCACTTTACAATATATACAAACTAGAGGTCAAGTGCACGACATTCCTGCACTGGGGGGAAGGGTCCCTCAGCCCAGCGCAGGCCCCAAGGGATCCTTAGTGCTGCTTCGGAGCTCCTACCCTGCTAGTAAGCAAGGCTTCCGGCTGAGCGGCACTCCTCCTGTGGGAGCACACTAACTACCAGGGGGCAGCTCCTGCATTGAGCGTCTGCCCCCTGATGGTCAGTGCGCATCATAGAGACGAGTCGTTCTACCGTCTGGTCAATTTGCATATTAGTCTTTTATTATGTAGGATATAAAATCATTATAATGTACACCTTAAACTAATGTATGTCAATTATAACTTAATGAAAAATAAAACCCCTTCTATAAAACAAAGATTACAGTGGATTTGAAAAACTGACATCACCTAGTGATGTCATACCCATCACAATGTCATAGGGAAATGCATTACTCAGATATTTATAATGACGCTGGTGTAAACAAGCTCCCTATGCAGCCAGTCCTATGAAAGTCCAGCACACACAGTTATGGTCACTACATAGAATACTTGATGATGATAAACTGGTTTATGTATTTGCTATACTATCCTTTTTTTTTAAATATATTTTATTGATTCTTTACAGAGAGGAAGGGGAGGGGATGGAGAGCTAGAAACATGGACGAGAGAGAAACATCCGTCAACTGCCTCCTGCACAACCCCCACTGGGGATGTGCCCACAACCAAGGCACATGCCCTTGACCGGAATCAAACCCGGGACCTTTCAGTCCGCAGGCCAACGTTCTATCCACTGAGCCAAACCGGTTACGGCTATACTATCCTTTTATCTTTGTGTGCTTTCTACTTAGTGAAGGAAAACATTGCTGTGAAGCAGTATGCTGTTTATGCGGGCAGCAGCCTCACAGGTCTTGGGCTGACTGTGCCTTTTGATTGCATCATTGCCTCCTGGGCTTGATTGAATCTGTTTTTTGTAAATTTCCTGGCCTAAGTGTACAGTGTGATAAAGTCTACAGTCTTGCACAGTAACGTCCTAGGCCTTCATATTCACTCACCAATCACTGACTCCTGCAGAGCAGCCTCCAGTCCTGGAGCCCATTCAGGGTCAGTGCCCCACACGGATGTACCATTTTCTACCTTGCACACCGCATTTTTACTGCACCTTTTCATAAATGCTTCCTACCATTGCATTACAATTGACAACAGCATTCAGTACAATAGCATGTTGTACAGGTTTGTTGCCTAGAACCCACAGGCTACACCATATGGACTAGGTGTGTAGTATCAAACACCAAGCAGGTTTGTGTAAAAGAACTGAAAACAACAAAATTGCTTTAAGATGTCCTCCCCAGGTTCAGGGGTGCAGGACTGTATGTAACTGCAGTTTCACCTCTCCCAGGAGTAAAATTTTAGCCCAGTCACTCTGCAACTTGCTGTTCAACACTAATCTGTCTAAAGACTCCTGCTGTTCCTTCCCCTAAGGAAGGGTGACCCTACCTGAAGCAAACCTTCCATTGTGAACAGCTCCTCTGAGATTCTATTTACTAGATGGGATGCGGCCCGATTCGTGAATGGGGATCAAGCCAGTTAACCTTCCACTTACTCAGCTGAATTTTGTTTTCAACAGTTTGAAAAGCACCACAAAACAAATAGCTGATAAACATGCTGTGACTCAGAGAAGGGAAGATGGTGGTTAGGATTCGGGAGAGAGACTGGAAATGCAGGCACTTGCTGCAGAGCTAGGCCTGGGGGACAGCGGGTGGACTTGAGAGCCTGCTCCACAAACATCAAAACTCAGGAGAAAACGGGGTCCTTCTGCGGAGAAAGGAGGGACAGGGAACCCCACAGACCACAGCTCCTCCCATGCACGAACCGCGGGGACCGAGTCACCATTGTCCCCAATGACCCTCCACGTGGTCACCGCGGGGATGTGGGTGCAGAGCTGTCCAGACACGCTCCGCAGCCCAAGGTCCTGCCGCGGGGACAAACTGGACGCCCGGGTCCCGGCTGGACCCCACCCTGCGAGCCCGAGGGGCCTGCAGTTTCAGCGGAGCCCCCGGCGCCTCGGGTCCGCAGGCTCCGGACCTGACCGTGGAGAGACGGCCCCGCCACGGCGGCTCCACCCGCCCCTCCTCCCCGACCCCGCGCCCGGCCGCACACTCACCATTTCTAGTTCCTGGGCCTCCCGAGTCCCGCCTGCAGCTCCCACCACCTTACAGATCACAGATGAGGACAGAACACAGGGAGATGTGACCCCAGGGCCGCTGAAGGGAGAGGAACAAAAGGGTGGAAACAGAGCGTAGCTGCATCCGCTGACCCTCCGCTACTTATAGGACCGACACTTCGCTGGACATCGCCCCCTAGCGCCCGAAGTGCACAGGCCTGAGCCCAAAGCAGCTAGATCTCCTGTCCAGGGACGTTTGCACTGAGAGGCAGCGCTGAGAGTCCCCAGGGAACAGTGGTCCTTCCTTGCAAACACACACACTTAAAAGGCACCTAAGGAATCTGGCTCCATTTTCTTCTTTGTTGACAACTGGAGTCTGACGTGTGCATTTGCAAAAAGGTGCACAGGCTCAGGGACCAGGGATGCCTTAGGGCAGTGGTTCTCAACCTTCCTAATGCCACGACCCTTTAATATAGTTCCTCATGTTGTGGTGACCCCCAATTTCATTGTTACAAATTGAACATAATTAAAGCATAGTGATTAATCACAAAAACAATATGTAATTATATATGTGTTTTCCGATGGTCTTAGGCGACCCCTGTGAAAGGGTTTTAGAAAATGTTTTTCACATGAAAACATGTGTTCCCACTGGTGATTCAGTCACTCTCCTCTGAGGTCATGAGCCACCCCTTCCTTGTGGTTGTCTTGTGGGCAGTTCCACAGACCTACCTGGAGCAATGAGATGGGCCAGGGACAGAGGTCACCAGGGTGGGAAGCCCAGGTGTCCAGCAATGGGCAACCAATTGTAGGGTGGGGCCTGGTCCCCAGGGTGACTTTTCCTCCTCTAGCAGATCTCTGGTCCTGGGTTTGGACCCCCTGATCTTCCTCTCTAGAGATAACATCTATGCCTCATTGAATTTCAGCTCCAGGCCCAGATAAGCAGCAAAATGCCAGGGCTGACATCAGGACCAGCTGCATTGAATAATGACCCCTGTCCTGGTGCCGGCCAATCCATCAGTGGAGGCCACATCCCTGAATGGACACACCTGGAAAGCTACAGAATATTCCATTCAGCTCTTCCCCTGGGACCTCCCCTGAAATCTCCACCCTTAAAACCTTAGGAAGGAGGACCCAGTGCGCTCTCCCTCCCTGGAGCACACCTGTACCTTCCCCTTCCCCTCCTTCTCCTCCTCCCCCAGGCAGGTTACCATTAGCTTGTGCTCCCAAGCTCCAAGGGCACTTTCTCTACCTCCTTAACTCCTTTCCTAAGCCCATTTCCTCTAAGACTTACTTCTCCTACCTCTGTAATTTACCCAGTAATGTTCTCTTACAGTTTGGGTCTTGCCCTGTATTCTTACCCAGCCAGAACCAAGTACCAAGGTTGCTGAACCCAGGTTGGGTGTGACCCCACCTGTCAGACACCTGGTGCCATTCCTGCTGCCGGCAGTTACACTGTTTAATCCAGCAATAATGAGATTTATCAGAAAACTGGGTTCCATCAATGTAAGAATCATTCAAACCTGTAGAGAATTTTATGATTTCATTGCCAGGAGGCAAAATGTCAATTAATTGAGATAATGTCCAAAGTATGACAGTTTGATACCTTATTTTATACATTATAATCAAAAGAAGATCCAAGTGGGTTACATGAAATCCATTGGTGATAGATTAGGAACTGGGAGGAAGGAAAGCATGGAAACCCCTGGGATAGGATGAAAAGTAAAATTATATACATATACTAGTATATCAAAAGCGTAATATGTAAATCAACTGAACAGCCATATAGCAGAATGACCATCCGGGCAACCATTCGGACGACCATCTGGGATCGTGCTATGACACCCACTGGCGCCAGGCGAGCCAAGGTGGGTATGATGTGATTGGTCGGGCCCAGTCATTGCCCCATGATCGCCCCGCAGAGGGAGGCCCAGGCCTCTGACCAGCAGGCTGTGGCAGGTGGACGGGGCCTCCCTCTGCAAGGGAAGCCCTGGACCCGGGTGCCGTAGGGAAGCCAGTGCCAGCAGCCGGAGGAAGGAAGGCCTACTCTTGCAGGAATTTCATGCATCAGGCCTCTAGTCCTAATATATATAAAGAGCTAGGTGGAGTCATGACCAAACGGGCAACTGGTCACCATGAAGTGCATAGAGCACCTCTCGGTCCCCGTTTTCCCCCAGTCCCTGAGCCGCTCACCATGAGCGGGGGGCTTGCGGCGGGGCGGGACTGGGGACTGTTAAGCAGTGGTGGCGGGCTGCTTCACAGTGTGGCTGTGAACTTAGCGGAGCAGTCACCTAGGCAGCAGCGAGTTTTGCAGAGCAATTGTGGGGTCGGGGCAGCCTTGCGGAGCAGTGGCGGGGCAGGGGGAGTTTTGCGAAGCGTCCAGCAGCAAGCTTTGCGGGGCGACATAAAGCTTTGCGGAGCAGTCAAGCAGGGGGAGCCTTGCAGAGCAGTAGAGTGGTCCCGGGCATTGTGGAGTGTCCGGGGGTGGGAAGCTTCACGTAGCATCGCAGGGTGGCAGAGGCCATGCAATGGAGGCGCTGGGCCTCTAGTATATATATATTTTACATAGCTGGGTACAGGATAGTTATTAGTTAATGATTAACATGATAACAATAACAATGAGAGGAGTTATGGTCTCAGCCCTGCTTGCATTGGTTGTGCACTGAGGGGTCTGAAATAGGGGGAATTACCCTGACATTGCCAAGGTATGCTATCTTCGATGCAAAAGACAGTGGACAAGTGTAGGTAAAGGAAAAATTGAGTTTTGTTACAGAGATTCTAGTCTGGGACATGACTATCGTATATAATAAAATGGTAATATGCAAATTGACCATCACGCATCACAAGATGGCAGCGCCCACAGCAGGGGGGGGGCGGGTGCTCCACACGCCTGCCAACGGGGTCCCATCAGCCTCGCCAGGGGCCTCAGGTCCTCCTGTACCCCCTACTGATTGACAGCTCACCCAGGCTCCTCCAATGAGCTACCCATCCCTCTCTTCCTCCCTCCCCCGAAGCTGAAGCCTGACTGGGGTGTCCAACAGATTGGAAGTTATAACTCATGTCATTGAGAGTATCCTCCATTCCTCAGCCAGGGCCGGCTGCTCTGCGCACCTGCCGCCAGAGTCCCCTCACCCCCACCAGGGCCTTGGGTTCTCGTGCACCCCCCACTGACTGAGGCTCAGGCAAGCCACGAATGGCAGCAGCCACTACCCAGGGCCGGACCGGAGTGCAGGCAAGCTGCTGATGGCGGCTGCTCAGCCACCCAGGGCCAACCCGAGACTCAGGTAACCAGGGCCAGCTGAGGCTTGCGCTGCCGGCAGTGGCAGCAGCAGAGGTGTGATGGGGGCGTTGCCTTCCCCTAATCGCCGTGATGCCTCCCACCCCTGAGGGCTCCCAGATTGTGATAGGGGGCAGGCATGGCTGAGGGGCCCCACCCCTTCCAGTCTATCATAAACTGCTTCTAGTTAAAATGTTTTCATTTCAGACCATTCCTTGTGGTTATTTTAGCTCTTTGAATTTGCAAGGCCATCACACACAGGCCTTCCCTGAACTTGGCAGGTTAGCATGTGGACTCATTTCATCCACACATCTCAATAATAATCCCCCTGATTGGTGAGTCTGTGATCCTATCTAATAAAATACAAAGATGCAAATTGACCGTGCCTTCACTATGCCCATCAGCCAATCAGATTGATATGCAAATTAACCACCAACAAAGATGGCAGCTAATTTGCATACTGCAGGCAGGGTGGGACAGCGGGAGCTGCCATCCAGGCCCCCGTGTGCAGCCCTGGGCGGCGGGGCTCAGGCAGGTGCGGTGATTGTGGGTGCCCTGCCCCATGTGTGGCGCCGGCCTGCGGGGCTCAGGCGGTGTGATCAGCAAAGCGGGACTGGGGATTGGCAAATGGGTGCAAGGCAGATCTCCTGGTCCTTCCCCCCAGCCAGCAGGCTCCTATCAATCTTCAGTTTCTACTGAAAGGAATGTGGCGCCTCCACTGCGCAGCCTCCCAGGACTCGGACTCGCAGGCTCTGGAATGGAGACTTCAACAAGGACTCCAGCACCTGCTCAGGGGAAAAACTGCCACCTCCCTACTCCATAGCTGCTTCTGTGTCTGCAAGAAACTGTGCATGCTCCTCCCTGTGAGATGGGCGGGGCCAGATGGTTCCACGATAGCAATAGCAGCTGGACCAGTGCAGGGATGGAGGGAGGGCGGGGAAGGAGCAAGGGGGAAGCCCTGGTTCCCTGCTCCTCCTCCCACACTAAGCCCATTTCTTCCCAGAATTACTTCTCCTACCTCTGTAATTTACCCAGTAAATGTTCTCTTACACTTTGGGTCTTGCTCTGAATTCTTTTCTAGCCAAAACCCAAGTACCCAGGCTGCTGAACTCACATTTGGTCTGAGCCCAATCAGAAACCTGGTGCTATTCCTGCTGCCACCACGGTTACACCGTTTAATCCAGCAATAATGAAATTTAACTGAAAATTGGTTCCCATCAATGAAAGAATCATTCAAACCTATAGAGTATTTTTATGAGTTCATGTCAGGAAGCAAAGTGTCAATGAATTGAGATAATGTCCGGAGTATGGCAGTTTGGTGCTTTATTTTATACATTACAATCAAAAGAGAAGACTCAAGTGGGTTACATGAAATCCACTGGTGATAGATTAGGGAGCTGGGAGAAAGTAAAGCAGGGTACCCGGGGGATACGATGAAAAGTAAAATGATAGACATACATATATATTTTACATAGGTGGGTACAAAGTAGGTAATAGTTAATGATTAACATAATAACAATGAGAGGAGATATGGTCTCATTTCTTCTACATTGGTTGAGCACTGAAAGGTCTGAAATAGGGGGAGTTACCCAGACAATGCCAAGATATGTAATCATATATGGGAAAGACAATGGACAAGCATAGGGAAAGGAAAGATTGAGTTTGTTAGGGGGATTCTAGTCTGGAACATGACTATCTACCATAAACTGCCTCTAGTTAAAACGTTCTCATTTTAGACCATCCCTTGTGGTTATTTTAGCTCTTTGAATTTGCAAGGCCATCACACACAGGCCTTCCCTGAACTTGGCAGGTTAGCATGTGGCCTCTTTTCATCCCCACATCTCAATAATATTCCCCCTGATTGGTGAGTCTGTGATACT